TTTGACGACATTTTTAACGGCCTCGTCTATATAAGTTCGGTCACCTGATCTCTATCCTTTATGGGTGCTCCTGATAGAACAAATAGTTGCAATCGCTAAAATAACTAAAATCTATTAAATTAATAAAGATTTCAACGATTTCACCGATTTATTTCCATCAGGAGCACTCAGAGCGGGATCTAAACATGGGCCAGATTGGACCTCTATTCTTGAAAAAAAAAAAATGTATACGAAATTCTAAGATAATTCTATAGTATACATAACGTATACTGTAGTATTTCCCTAGACTTTTTTGTATACCTTTTTTTTTTCCAAGAATAAAGGCTTAGGGCCTTATCTTCCCAGGGGGTCTCATAATTAATCATTTTAAATATTGTTTAAACTCAAAAGTAAAAACGCTTGAATTTAAAATTAAAGCTGAGAAATTACGATCTTTAATAAGAGAAATGTATTTAGTTTTGTATAATAATCAGATATTTTCTGTTTTTCCAAATGTTGAAATATGTACGTGAATATTTTCAAGTATATTGCCATCTAATTGTAATGGTAAGAGAACCCTTTTCACAGCTTTTGTTGATAAAAGATGAGCATAGAAGAACTATTGAGTAAAAAAAATTGAATAAATATAGTGTTATGTGCATTGAAAATAATTTGTTGCGGACTATTGATTTTTCAGATATCGTCGATGAATTTGCAAGAAAAAAAATTAGGCAAAGATATTTCTAAATGTCATCGATTAACAATTTAATAAATATTTTTCTTATTTATTTTTCTTACTAATTTTTCTTATTAATTATTTTTTTATATTTCTTAGATTATTTTTTCAGAAATGTGTGTAGCATAATGTTAATGTAATAAATTATCGAATTTTTTAAAAACTTGAATAAATTATTATTATTGCTTTTTTATTTTACGGAAAAATCGGTGCCCTTACAGGGTCTCATCGACGCAATGGCCCGGGGCCTCAAAATATTTAATCTGACTGGGAGCAAAAAAATGGATATTTTTGTGTAGTTAATATCCACTTCTTCAGAAAGTGGTAGTGCACGGCAGCATTTTACAGGTTTTGAGCCGTCATGTCCTCTGTCAGGTTTCTCTCTGCATATACCTTTCGGAATCACGTATTAAAACCAAGTTAGCGATCTATTGTTAGATATAAATATTCTTGAGGCTTCTACGGGTGCTTTCTATATAAAGATTATGCGTTTCGCGAGTTTTTTCCATGTCCAGATCCATTCTTGGAATGCCAACGTTTTGTGAATCTTGCAGTCCACTTCATCAGGACGAGAAGCAGCCTGATACTGAACTATTCCTTCGGGCTGTTTTTTTTTTTTTTTACGCTACTTGTTGGAGTAATGGGAGGAGGGGAAGAAAAGAATTGTAGGTGGGGCAGGAGGGGGAAAGGTGAGGGAAATTGGTCAGTCTTCAATAACCGGGAGAATGGTCTTCCATATTTTATTTATATTGTAGCCATTATCTCTGTTTAGATTGTTAGGGTGTTTTTGTATCTCTATGGCTTCTCTATACTTTCTTGGAAAGTATGATGTAATGTTAGCTAGCGTGGTCGTTCTGTCAAACAGTATTTGATGTTTTGTTTTGATGTTGTGATCTGATAATGCTGATTGCGTGGCATGTTTTAGCTTGACATCATGTTGGTGTTCTTTTATCCGTAGGTTGACCATTCTCCCGATGTCTGCAATGTATACTTGCCCGCAGGAACAAGATATTTTGTATAATTCTGCGGGGTTGAGTGAAGGTCTTTGATCTTTAGGATTTCTTAAGATTTGTCCTATCTTTTTAGGTGGTTTGAAGATAGTTCGGATATTGTGTTTATTTAATATCCTGCCAATACGATCTGTTATTCCTTTGACATATGGGAGAATGGATAGGATCCTTTCGTCTAGTTGTGTGTCAGAGATCGTTGTCTTGTTTGCATGTTTATTGGTTATTTTGATTATGTTTTTTTTCGTATCCGTTTTTTTGTAAGGCTAATTTTAGGGTGAAGTGACCTGCAAGGTTCACGAAACGTTGGCATTCCAAGAATGGATCTAGACACGGAGAAAATATAATCTTTATTTAGAAACGTATAATCTTTATTTATTTAGATATAATCATAATTAATATAGTCATAACTTAAAAATCGTTAACAATATAAATAAATTTTAAATTTAATAAAAATATGGATTTAACCGATGGCAGTGTGTGGAATATTTCTGTCAATTCTGGGGCTAGCATATACTACATATGTAGATTATTAAATATAAAAATCAGAAAAAACGTCGTTGGTGTGTACATCCAATAAACAAAAAAAAGGAAAAAAAGGACATTTTTATTGTATAAGTGTCGAAATTGTTCGATTCAGAAAATCATATCAGCATCGTTTATTTTTATTTCATCTGATTTTAAATCTTTCTCGAACAGGTTAAAAGAAAAGTTCACTTGAATCCCTTGGTATTTTGCACTTTTCTATTCTTTTATACTTTTTGCGTATTTTTCCGTGGTCGTAGACCGGTAAAGATGAAGTTGAATCAACTTTTCGGTTACGGCCGTAAATTAACAGATTTTTGCCGGTTATTATAAACCGATAGTATCCGGTAGGTATATAACGGTAGGTTTCCTATCTTTCAATTTTAGGTACCAGCCTAAGTTAACGATTACGGCATAGTATACCTACATACAGTAGCGACAGTAGCTCTCGGTTTCTTTGACGTCGGTGATCACTAATAGAGTTCTATATATGAGAGAAGCGACATTCATTCCCATCTCTACACGTGTTCAGCATCGGCATGTTTGGCCCGCTCCAGTTGACCAATTCCGTCATACTTCATTTATTCCATTTGTTACATCCCAGGGTTCGATCGGCGGATGGCTGGGATCCGAACAGACCTGGGATTATAGATGGGTGCAAGGAGTACAGTTTCGCATCGGCGGGAGCGCAGAATTAAAATCTGTCCAATTTAAGAGTTTGAATTTTCAGCTAGATTTGCGCGCTCGATACGGCAACGATAGTCGATTCCGGGAAGGTCCAAGGTGTACCCCCCGTCCTGTTTAAGTAATTGAGAAACTCCTCCAAAACTTCAGGGCAATCGCGCCCGTGAAATTATGTACGGTGGCCGCAAACGCGGGTGCACCGGACACATACTACGCGTAAACAGGATTTACGGTCCGCGGTGACCAAAATGTGATAAAGTAAAAATATCCTATCTTTACGGTGAGGCCAGTGGTTGCGGCATGCGGTTGGTCGATATGCGTGATTTCGCTTATACCCGATCGCCCCTTATACCATATAGACTAATTTAATATAGCGTTGCACCAAAACACAATTATCAATACTAACAAGGACAAGGGAAGAGGGAAAAGCAAATTTCGAAGCACACCTTCTCTCCTCCTTCAATCAAGCAAGAGTGCACATTTAAGAAGAGAAAAGAAAAGTGACGCAAACAGTCTTAAATACGTATTCTTTAAGTGCAAGCTTCAAAATTGTCGAAAGAAAAAAGTCCACAATTCTGGCCTGCAAATGTTGCGTCAGCATGCCCCAACATTTGTTTCTCTCTGAGGCTGAGGTGTTACGGAATCCCATGACTCTTTTCTTTCGTGGAGATTTGTAATTCGTTGAAAATAAAGAGACAGCTACAAATAACGAACAAACTGAGCGGTTATAGCCTAGAAAAGACTAAAAATTTTCTTTTCCTACATTAAAAACTAAAACGAAGAATCCAGTATCTCTTTATAAATGTCGCTCCGAAATAAACTAAAAATCGGTGTACGAGACCAAAGGACACCGTCTGAATTCCTCTGACACTGCTAAAATAATAATAAATGTGTCATTAAAAGTGTAAAATCGGCGCCAAGATCATTTTTAACGGTCAAATCGCGGATGATTTTCAGGAATCCGTGATCACAAAATCTAAAAAACGACACGCGACATTCAGGAATAGATTCTGAGTGGTCTCTTGACGACACTGCACGTGCGTTTTTCCATAAATATTAAGGTCATAAAATTTAGGAGAACACTTCCACACAACAGACTACTCCTTTCCTCCCCCAAAATCTTGACCAATCCGAGAGCAAAGAAAAATCCTACTACTAATTAACGAAACCTATTCCATGCACGCACGTACACGCACACTCACACATATATAAATCCGCACGCTAACACAGTTGAGCGTGGCGCAACTTCGTCGCGCGTTCACAACAGATTTCCTTATGCGATCGGATTACGGGTGACTTTAAACGAAACGCGACAGAAAAGCGTCTTCATGCGGCCACTCTTAAAGGCAGCGCAAAATCGCGAAACAATAGTTGGACGCCAGGCACGAGTGAGCGTGCCACTCTTTCTCGAAATTACACGATATTTTCTTATGCAATATTCCAACAGGCTGTAAACGTCGACGGGCTCTCAACAGGTAGCCTCGGAAATGGCAGAGGGGGCGGTTCGTGGTTGAGGATAGAGGATTGTTTGGAGGAGCGAATAATAACGGCAATAAAGCACACAAAGATTAATAATAGCAAAAATAGCAAGTGTATTGAACAAGTCTTCGGCTTTCATTTAAGCTTTCGTTCCGCACGGACGGAAAACGTCACGTCACAATACGAACAATTTGTGGGACATATATACAAATGCTAAACGTTACAAAAGTAATTACATAAATAAATTTGCAATGCGTCATTATAATAATGACATTGTCTCATTATAATAAGGAGTTTTTTCGTAAAATTGCATATAATTAAAACAATGTCTGTTAAAGTTAAAGTAAATCATGTATAATTACAATTACAATAGATTTCCACGTCACCCATGAGGTACTATTGCTGACGCGTTTTTTTTTTTAGTGGTTTCCCCTATAGGCCTATTCCACTAATACAATTTGTCATGTATTGCTTGCTACATGCCAATGCTACGTACTGTATGGATAATAAAAAAGTCAAGAGACATTCCGATAAAGAAATAAATATGAAACAGAGTTTCATATAATATCGCTTACTATCCGGTTATGTTCTCAGTGAACATAATTTGAAAAAAGATGCCTTAGATCGGCGCCAAATTGCAATAAAAGACCAGCAACTGCAAGATGACCATTTTTGCACGCGATTGTGAATGCCGTGTAAGATTCCTGGCTCTCCTCTCCTAGCATCTGATTGTGAGCATGAATATCCGCTCCAGATTCCAGTAAATATTGAACAAGATCTAAGTATCCTCCCGCCGCAGCTTCCATCAGAGGGGTGTCTGCACCAAGTTCAATATCCGCTCCCGCCTTGATTAAAAGATCGGCTATTCGCAGATAACCATTTTCACAAGCCAGGACAAGCGCCGTTTCTTTAGTTTCTTTATTTTGAGCGTTGATGTCTACACCTTCATTCAAAAGTAAGGCGACCATTTCTTCGTTATTCTCGAGAGCTGCTTGCATCAATGGCGTATAACCGTCGTCATTAACTTCCTCGATATTTGTTCCACGCTCAATCAAGGAGTGAGCCAATTCCACAAGGTTTTTGCTAGCAGCGAACGTTAATGGCGTCTCGGAACTATTAGTTATTTGGGCGCCTGAATCTAAAAGTAGACGAGCCACTTTCACATGACCGTTTATAGATGCCTCGTTAAGAGCAATATGCATCTCGTGGGATTTATGCTCTTGATCCGTGCCAGTTTCTAGTAATAAACGGACCATTTCTAAATGTCCGTTAAAACAGGCCAACGTCAATGGTGTCTTTTCAAACGTATTAGACCGTGTATTGATGCCGTTCTTGTGTTGAAGCAGGATCTTGGCGATATGAATATGCCCAGCGCTTGCTGCTTCCATCAGAGGTGTATGGCCGTTCTCATTCTGATCCTCAACGTTGGCGCCCGAGTCTAGTAAGACGCGTACCACTTCTTCATGTCCACCAGCGCATCCGTATATGAGAGGTGTGTTACACGATGCAGATCGAGCATTAACATCGGCTCCATGGGCAATTAACAAAGACACGACGTCTACATTCCCGACGCTTGCTGCTTTTAACAGAGGTGTACAACCGATCTCATTGTAAAACTCGATATTAGCTCCAAAGTCTATTAAGACACGTACAACCTCTTCATGTCCACTGGCACATCCGTAGATGAGAGGTGTGTCACCTGATGTAGATTGAGCATTAACATCAGCTCCGTGAGCTATCAGCAACGACACGATATTTACACGCCCGGTACTTGCTGCTTCCATTAAAGGTGTACGACCGTTTTCATTGTAATCCTCAACATCAGCTCCCCAATCTAATAAAATATGTACAACTTCTTCGTGTCCATTAACGCATCCATACATGAGAGCTGTGTTGTTTGACGTAGACTGAGTATTAACATCAGCTCCGTGAGGAATCAGCAGAGATACAATATTTACATGCCCGGCGCTTGCTGCTTCCATTAAAGGAGTATTACCGTCTTCATTGTGATCTTCAACATCAGCACCCGAGTCTAATAAGACACGTACAACTCCTTCGTGTCCACCGGCGCATCCATATATGAGAGCTGTGTTGCACGATGCAGATCGAATGTTAACGTCGGCCCCGTAAGTAATCAAGCTCGATACGATATCCACGTGTCCTGCACTAGCAGCTTCCATCAAAGGAGTGAGGGTGCCATCGAAGTCCATCTTGATGTCGTAATCTTCTATATCCATTGTAGTGTTCATCGTCAGGAGTACTTCAGCAGGCAGATTACAAAATTATGCAGGAATTGATTGAAACACAAAAATGCCGTTACGCTGGATTATGCTACGATGCACCTGAAGTAATGGCGACGCCTAAGGGAGCGTCCTGATCACGGAGTAAAAAAGAGACTCAAGGATGAAAATGGGCTCAAAACACGATGTCGAAAAACCTATGGAAAATCGGGATGCGATTTTAGTGCCATTGCGGGAAATGTTGGAAGTATATATCACATGATAACGCGTACAGAATATACATGTATGCACGTTTTATTTTTAATACAGAAATTCCAATTTGTATAAAATTTAATCGTATTTGATTAAATGATAATTGTTGATTAAATGACGCATTAATATTTTTTGAAAAATAAATACATTTATGCACAGTCATAAATTGTTATTAAATTGTCGTTCTCTAACTTATCGACATCAAAAAACTTTAAAATTAAAAAGAATAGAAATAAGACTTGAACGACAACTTTCCTTCTCAGAATATATTCTACGCATGAAAATACGCATGAAAATTTACAGAATTACAGAAAAATGAGAGGAAAAATATTTATCAAATTTTCTAGCTTAACAGTTCTCTCCGACAGGAGCGCTCGAATTTGTTCTTCCATAGAGTAGGTATCTATATAAAGAGAGTAGCGCCAATGCTGATTGGTGCCTAATGATGATTGATTCCGCCATTAGGGATCCTTACTGTTAGTTAGAAAGAAGACAATGTTAAAGAAAGAAGAGGTTAAGACGAGGAATTGCGTTATATAGTTATCTCAGATGTAGGACACCAAATGGCTACTTCCGGCTAATTGCCGCTACTCTCTTGACATATACTCTATTTTTTCATACAGCGTTTTTCCGACACCGTCTTTCGAATCTATTTTTTTCAGGACCGGCTGCTTGAGCTTGGTCTTATTTTTTTTTCCTCTGTGGTCCTGATAGAGAAAGGAATATCGCAACCACGGAATAATAAGAAGGAGATCAAATTCATATTAAAGATTACTTATTACTAGCCCGTGCCGCTTACCGCGCGCAACATGTAATAGAAAGAAAAAGAAGCAAGCGGCACGGTTTGCGCGGTTTCTATAGTTTCCTAAAAGCGTATATTTCCTTTATACGTCTTAATTTTCCTCTTATCTATGAAGTTGTCTGATGCGCGTAAGTATTTTCGGGAACGACTGAGATTATGCTGAATAGCATAGCCAACCCGTTCGTTCACATCAAACGTCATAGACGCCCCACTGAAAAATTGAACAGGTAAACGCCGCGTTAGTTTATGTTTTGTTCTTTTTGCGTCGCGTGTTTTCCTGCGTGTCCGTTCGAAGGCAGCAATTCCTCTCCACGTCCAAGAAACCCTCTCAGCGTATCGGAGAGATCGGTTGTCTAGCATGCTAAATATCATGCCAGAAATTTCAATAGGTAATTTCTTTATTACATCTACTGTTGTTACGATAAAGAAACCGGAAACAAACCTAAATATTCTCCTAAAAGCTTCCATCGTGCGACTGCAAAATGGAGACTGACTTTCTCGGCGGTTGAGGAATACTTATATAGATCTTCCACCACCCTTCTTTTACCCTCTCCACATTTATGTCCCCACCATGGCCCCCCCTCCTCTCAGTGTCGAATCCTGCGTGAATCTTTGACTATATAACATGAACATATAACAATTGCTGCTAGTAGCAATTTCAAACTGAATGTCAAGATATGTCGCGCCATTATCAACTAATTAAGAAATACGTGAACTAACGTCACAGCTAGTAATCAGTGCTCAGGCATATCAGAGCTGATTTTAGACGTATTATCCATTAAACATGCACGTGCAAATCTTTATTGCGAAAGCATTAAGAAATATACGCATAACTGCGTTATTTATAATTTTAACTCGCATAGTCGTGAAGTTCTACATACATTTATAATGATGTACTTCTGATGTTGTTAATATGACATGGCTGTGACAAATCCATGTTTACGATGATAGGACGTCAAATTCGTTAAAAATATCCAATTAATTTCGTCAAATAGATGATCCTTTGTGACATAATACATATTTGATACAAATTTATTTTTTGTGGGTCTGTGTAATTAACTGTAATTATACAAATGTTGCCATATGAATTTTTAGATTGTATTGTTGGTCATTGCATAGTTCGTCATAGAATTAATGACAAACATCGATAAAACAAACTAATGTATCCTTCTGCCACCTACATAAACTTTTTTACTTCTATTTAATCCTAGCTGTACATACTTATTTTTTGCATCCTTGATATGTATTGTACATTGAACCGCATCTATATTTGTTATCGTAATTTCTGTAAAAATGTATATTATATATTTCAATTAATTCAATCATCAATATACTTCAATTAATTTTTTTCCAATCGATGAGGAATTGATTATAAGGAACAAATTCATAATGTGTAAAAGTCGATAGTTAAGGAACTTCGAGATATATAGATTCATAGAAAAAAAATTTTTAAATGCGATAAAAATCTCAATTTGTAGAGTTGCGCTGGGATCTCGCGGACCTCAAATATGGGTAGCTATTTAACATGTACAATATGTTATCTCATGATTAATTATTATTACGAATGAAAAAAACTGCTAATGCAGTAGCATATATATCAGGATATTAATTTATACGAAAATCAATCAACACATAGATTATTCTCTCTCGATGGTTTATTGAGAAAATTGTGTTTATAAAATAATAACTTTGGTAAGACCATTAGAAGAATTTCATATATTAAGTTTTTCTCCTTCTCACCGTTAAATCTTTCATGACAAATGAAACTGATCGCTGGGAAAACATAATGGAAATTTGGGCTTAAATTAATTATCCAAAACGCATACACACACACACACACACACACACACACACACACACATCGTTTTTACTTTAAAACGAAAATAACTCACATGTATATATACTCTAACAAGTTAGTAAATTTTGTAGATCTCTAAAAGTTTCAGGTCATTGGTCACTTAACATACATTCCTCCTTATATATATATGTATAGGATTCTCTTATAAAATTATTCCAAATATAATAGAAACTTGCATTAGATATTTTGAATTTCATTGCTCATTAAATTTATTTGGAAAATGTACTTTATCTTAAAATACTCGTTGTAGAATAAAAAAATAACGTAAAAAAGATTCTGAAATTGGTTAAAAAAACGACATATAATTCAATATATACTCGCTATAAACAATTTTTATGACACGACCAAATTATGTCTTTTTTTTTTTTAGAAAAATCATTCTGTAGCTTTATGAAAACTTAAATTTATAAGCTCCTTTCCCACAACATAGCGGCGAGTCATGTGACTTGGGACCCACTACATCAAAGGTGCCGACGCTCAGTGTCTGCACTATATATACTTATACTATGATTTGGGCCACAGGAGGTATAGGCAAGACTCCCTTTATGTCTATATACTCTAAGGGCGTGTTCTCATCTTGACGGAAAAGCAGAAAGCGGAAAAGCAGTGGCCAATCAGAACTCACGCTGGTAGTAAGTAGTACACAAAGAAATTGTAGACTACCAGCTAGAGTATATATTAGCCGTAATCGTATGCTATATGCCGTAATCTTTTTATACCGTATGGCGTAAATCATTTCGACGCGAAATGTTTTGCGTTTCACAGTTGTCATCTTGAACCTTATTGGCAACGCAAAGCAAAAGTAGACATGGTTTGATCGAACTGCACACAACGACTGCGTTCCATTTAACGCTCACAACACTCGTGGAATCATTTTATTCTTGTCGTTTATCAAATGTTAAACAAAAGATGTTACGCTCGCGAGCGTTAAGTGTTAGTTCCGTTAGAACACAGCCAACATATAATCTTTCCAAGCGATAACCCGATATTAAACATACTGCGAGTGAGTGTGGAAATGTAAATGAAAATGTGAATGTAAAAAATTTTTGTTATATTGAAATATACGTTTATATATTGTTACTGAAAAGTGAAGATAATGATTTGATAACATCTTTCTACTACATGCAAGTAATATTGGGCGCCAAATGAACTAGCATATCAATGTTAGTTTCCACGATACCAAAACTAACCAAACGGCAAAAGGAACAAGATCGAATTACTTACTAATCAAATATATTTATTTATAACTTACAATCTAACTACTATTGTTGGCAAACAATTTATCTTTATTTTATTATACATTACTAAGTCATTAATATACATTATTTTTAACAGTATTATTTAAAAGCGTATATTTCTTTTATACATCTTGATGTTCTTCTTATCTTTGAAGTTGTCCGATGCGCGTAAGTATTTGCGGGAACGATCGAGATTCTGCTGAACAGCACAGCCAATTCGTTCGTTCACATCAAACGTCATAGATGCCTCATTGAAAAATTGGACAGGTAAACGCCGCGTTAGTTTATGTTTTGTTCTTTTTGCGTCGCGTGTTTTCCTGCGTGTCCGTTCGAAGGCAGCAATTCCTCTCCACGTCCAAGAAACCCTCTCAGCGTATCGGAGAGATCGGTTGTCTAGCATGCTAAATATCATGCCAGAAATTTCAGTAGGTAATTTCTTTATTACATCTACTGTTGTTACGGTAAAGAAACCGGAAACGAACCCAAATATTCTCCTGAAAGTTTCCATCGTGCGACTGCAAAATGTAGACTGACTCTCTCGGCGGTTGAGGAATACTTATATAGATCTTCCACCACCCTTCTTTTACCCTCTCCACATTTATGTCCCCACCATTGCCCCTCCCCCTCTCAGCGTCAAATCCTGCGTATTCAAATCAAACGTATTTATTTATAACTTACAATCTAACTGTTATTGTTGGCAAAAAAATTTATCTTTATTTTATTATGAATTACTAAGTCATTTATATACATTATTTTTCATAGTAATATTTAAAAGCATATATTTCGTTTATACACTTTAATTTTTTTCTTATCTTTGAAGCTCTCTGATGCGTATAAGTATTTCCGGAATGATCGGGATTCTGCTGAACAGCACTACTAACTTCAATAAGAACTCAATAAGAGCTCAAGCGGCCGATCTCGAAAAAGGTGGGCTCGAAACATGGTGTAGGAAAACTCGTGGAAAATCTGGCAGATGTAATTTTAGTGCCATCGCACCTTGCGGGAAAAGTTGGAAGTATTGACTATCACGTGGTCACAGGTCATACGTATGCATCTACTATATATATTACTACATACATACATATATGTAACCTATAACCACGTGACAGAAGTCAATACTTCCAACTTTTCCCGCAAGGCGTGATGGCACTAAAATCACATAGGTCAGATTTTCCATGGGTTTTCCTACACCGTATTTCGAGTCCACTTTCAGACATCGAGTTTGATCTCCTTATTACTCCGTATTGTTCAGGGAGTAGACCTAGCCGCTTTGTCGAACGTGCCCATTGGCTACATCGTGTACTTGATACGGGCAGAGAGAAACCTGAGAGAAGACCAAAACCCATGATGGGCCAAAACCTGTAACCTCAAAATGCTGTCGTCACTACTGCCCTCTGACAAAGTGAATGTAAACATAGTAACGTCCACTTTTCAAGGCTGGAGATGATAAATCGATATTTGGTTCATATAATCCTGTTACATGTAGCATTTTAGAATCTGAAACAATACATCAATAGCAGCGAGCGCTCAATCATCTGTTGAGTCCGCTGAACGCAGCCATTGTGTTAAATGGTTAGAATAATTGCCTAGTTTACATCGTGCGCTTGATACACGTACTAACTAGTAACTTCCTATGTGTTCTATGTAAGCTATGTATTTAAAGAATGATGTACTAAATTGGTACAATATGCATCAAAATAATTAAATACATGTTGTTAATTAAGTATATATGTAGTTTATATTTTTATACATATCGCCGAAATTAGGATCATTTAATAGAAAGTTACTAGTTAGTATCTGTATCAAGTGCACGATGTAAACTAGGTCAATGAAATCTTCTATTAGAATATATCAATTGATAAGATTATTATTTCTTTTTAATTTCGAAAGACACACGTTTTAGCTTATATGTACTATATTTTTATCGAAAAATCTAACAACTTTGATAATTTTTTCAAAAGATTCCAATATGCGCCATCTCTTTTTGAAATGTATTCCAATAATGACGTAAAGATAATTAGATAATGATTCTTTAAGTATTTCAAAAAAAACATATCTTAATAGTTACTATCTGTTATTGAATTATATTATGATATTTTTTCAACTATGATATTTTTTTCAAGGATGTTAGAAATTTCAAAAATAATTCAAACTTTTATTATTATCTCATCGGAATACATTTCTGACAACTTTGATAACTTTAAAAAAATTCAAGTACATTTTAATTTTTTTAACAGAAATATTTACATCACATTACTTAAATTTCTTTCTTGTGAACGTTCAAAGCTATCAAACTGAAAGTTCTTAAGTTAAATTATCAGTTCTTTTTTTAGTCACAGCTATAAATATCATAAATAAAATATCATAAATACAGCGACATCAGTGACGCGTTCGATCCGGAAGTTGCTCAAGTAGCCATTTTTAAACGTAAAAGCAGTCTTTTACACAACAAGTGTTTTTGCATTTTTTATTGATATGCAAATTGCTTTTATGTGATCCCCATCATATTTTTGTCGTTAAAAAAGAAAGATATTTCTTTCCTATCATTCTTAAAAATATATCTGCATGAAACGACTTTCCACTGAATCGTATATAAAATCATTTCGAATTAGGTCAGATTAAGTGCTCGAATATGTCGTTGGCACGAACAGAATTTTTATAAGTGGGTTGATGAAAATGTAGATTTGAATGTAAATGAGAGTGTTCCCTTATGCCCTTATCCTCGACAAGTGATTAAGTAGCATTTGATCAATAGTCGAATCGAACAGTTTGCTATGTGTTTATTTCGAGATTTAGCAACGAGGACGAATTTAACCTCCCAATCTAGGTGGCTCGTGTTTGAAAATTCAATTCAATTGTGATTTCCTGTTATCACCATATGGTGATTGTTCTTGCTGGCAGCACGAAGCATCTTTGATCGTGTAAGATTTTCCGATTTCAACACGACACGATGGCACCGCAATTGCAGATTTTGTCCAACGTTCTGCAGGTAAATGTAGTCAAGCACATTTGTATTAATATAATGATACGAAACATAATTCATATTTTTTTCTCAAGTTTTTATGGTCACTTATAATATATTTCTTGCAAGGAACAGTATTTTGTGAATATATGTCCTCTTTATTCTAAATTTATTATTTAAGATTTATTATTTAAGATGCTATGTTTGACAGATAAACTATATTAATAATGCTAATGTATGTGTTTAATATTTAAATAAAATAATACTTTTAGCGATTAGAAAACTTAGAAACCGCAACGACTGGCTATCTTTATGGTATTATGTACAATGATACTCTCATCGTTCTGACATTTAGTATAAGTTCATGTAATAGTGAAGATAATAACCTAACAGATTATACAGCACTGCAGTTGAATTTACCTGCAGATATATATTTCTGTGGCGTATTACATATTGGTGAATGTGAAAAAATAAATACTGATATTTTCAAGGTAATTACAAATTAGATTTGTTGTTTATCTATCTATCTTATTCCATTCATTCTTACATTACATTTGTTTGTTTAGGACATTGATATAACAGATAATCCACTACTTTTAAAATATTCACGCAATACATTGGATATACAAGCATATTTTTATGTCCATCAAAAACTAGAAGCTATAAATAATCTTAGTATTATTAGCGAAGATGATCTTTCTCAACAATTTGTATATATTAGATTACAAGCGACTCTACCATTGATTGCTCAGGATAGGAATATATTAGAAGCTTTACAAGAATCACGAAAAAATGTAAGATTTTCCTTTTGATTAACATTTTTACATCATATTTTTTGTCTTGTATATATTATATATGTATCATATAATTTTGCACTATAGATTGCATCTGGAAAAATAGGAATACGTTTTCCTTTGAATGATGCATACCTCTTCAGAACTGATGACAATTTAAAAGATATAATGTTAAAAGATATTTTATCTGTGTCCAAAAACCAGGACAAATTTTCAACTGGATTAAGTAATGTAAATTATAATACTGGACCTGTGGTATGTGCCTTTAGCTAAAATTTATACGTACTACTTTAAACATAAATTATATCAAAGTATATAAAGATTATGCGTTTCGCGGGTTTTCTCTGTGTCCATTCTTGGAATGCCAACGTTTCATAAACCTTGCTATCCACTTCATCAGGGCGAGAAGCAGCCTGATACTGATATAGACACGGAGAAAACCTGTGAAACGCATAATCTTTATATAGAAAGCACCCGTGGAAGCCTCAAGAATATATCAGAGTATTTTTACTTATTTTGTTAATTTTCAGAAAGTTATACATGCAAACATGTTATTAAAGATGTCAAGCGAGAGAAATTCTGAAGAATCTGTTAGATATGCTCCTGTTTTGCAACACATCAAAAGTGAGTACTACAGAAAAGTTTTTGATTTATTTAATTTATATCAATACACATAATATTTCTAATTTATCATATATTTGTTATGTTGTAGAATCCTTCAACAGTTTAGAATGCAATTTACACATTGATGCATTATCATTGGTGAATTTGAATGTAAAATCAGCTGAATTGCACGCGATTTTAGTGGAATCGACTTGCCGAAATATTAGATTAATTGAAATGCAACAAGAAAATCAGTCTGAAGATACGCGACTATCTGAAATCATGCATTTTAAACCTCAGAGTTGTGGACATTTATTTACAGTAGCATATCCTAGCAATTCTACTAATGATACCACAAGTAAGATCTTGATTACTTGTTTATTACTTGATTTATTTATCAATCATGCAATAAATATTACTATTGGAATTTATATCATTCGTATGTCCTGTATCGTCATTACATAATTAACATTACCGAATTTGTTATCATAGTGATATGTGT